ACCATGAATTTTTGTCAACTGCAGCATGGGAATTTACATTTGTTCTATAAAATGCACTGAAAGGACCAGCCTGCTCTTTGAGAATGGGAAATGTAATCTATCCAACTCTCAATAAACTTGAGAATATATATCTGGTTAAACCCATCTAAAATGAGATGCAGTCCTGGCAATATGGTGGGCTCAGAAAGGCTGGCAATAAAAGTAGATATACAGTATCTGACATCAGATTGTTTCAAGCTTAATTTCAGTAAAGTAATAATGTCAGGAAAAGAAACGCTCTGTGATGCACAGATTGATACCATTAGATAGAAACTATGCAATGCCTTATGAACACAACCATTTTTGACTTGATATTATGAGTAAAGAATAGAGCAGTATTCCATGTGCCAGCTTCAGATTTGTGGTTATAAAAGTTGACCCGAAGAGTGGTCATGGAAAGGGACAAAACATGGCATATATATTCTTCTGCAAATAAAATCAATTGGGATTATATTACCCTAAAATATGTCCTGTATAAATGCCCTCCACAATTTGCCCTAGGTAGCAAGTAATTGCCCACAATAGACCAGAGAGAGCTTTCAGACACATAATATTAAACAAAGAATGTGTATGTATCATAGTCAAATGAAAGGAAAGCACCTCTGTGGCACTTCTAGCCTCAGCAGCAGAAGAAATGCATGAAATAATTGGTGGAAGGCGATGGATATCTTGAGAAACCCAAGCATTGAAACCCCAGTTCCATTTATTTTTCTCTTAAATTGCTTTTTCCAGTCAATAAATAATCACATAATCACATCCTACATTCGGTAGAATATACATGGTTGCCGCCCTTAGCAAGTTTCATGTGTGGGCTCACACCTCTATTCAGGATTCCAAGTGTCAGGCCTGCCTTTGGTTTGCATGTTAACAAATGTCAAGTGTATTCTGCCTTCCAAAACAATGGTGTTTCAGGTTTTACTTGTCCTGTATGAAAGATCAGTCCCTATTCTCCTTTCTCTTTTGGAGAAGACATTATAGCAAGTTCAGGTACAGAGGAAGTTTGTAAAAAAAAAACGAAGTTGAATACACCCATAAAGGTAAAAACACACATGGAAATATACACTCCATTCCTCCTTCCGTAAACACACACACACACACACACACACACACACACACACACACACATTTTCTATCCAAACATGGCTGGAAGCCCTAACAAAGAGATTGCTTGGATACACACTCTAGAAAACAAGAAGACAAATAACCCATAAATAATTCTCCATTGTAATTTTGGAAAATATTTTGGTGTGCCTAAATCAATAACTAATGCCACAATTAAAAATTATTCCTAAATCCATTTCATTAAATACTGTGTACGTTCCCAATTATGCTGTGAAATGAATAAAAGAGAGACGTTACATTTTTTTCTTTCGCTTCCAAAATAATGAAAAGATTACTGACAAATCAATACTGCTGCTATTAATAGTTGCATCCTCAAGCCATTTTGGGGGAGACATTCTGCTTTCCCTATTTGTACACCATGAGTCTGTCCTCTGTCATTCCCTTTCTCTTTAATCTTGTGTGAGTGTACAGCTCACTCGTCCTTATTTTATTGACTCAATCACAGGCGTACTGTCACTTTTTATAAAATGGTCACTGCAGAATCACATCAAGCAAATTTTTGATTCTGCAGTCAGTAATTTAGTGCCTTTATGGAATTGCAATTTCAGGGCTCACTGCTTGTTTTTCTAAAATGTACTTTAGGAATTAGTTACTCCAGCCACAAATCAGTTGAATTTATGCACAGTTGTAATACAGTTTATGGCCTCATGGTACATTGCTTCAAAAACAGCAGATGTGAAATTATGATAAATATAATGAGTGTTTTTTTGCCTGATCTAGTGGAGTAGAGAAGGATCTGGAGCGTGTTTACCTATCCCATACAGTACATTTAATGTCTTAGTCAGGAGCCCTGACAATGGCTGATTAATGTCCTCATCTCCTTTATTAAAGATAAGAGTAGCACTGCAGTCAGGAGATAGAAAGCACACCATAAATCTTCGTAAAATGAGCAGTCAAATAATCACTCATCAGAAATAAAATCTACATACATTAACACTAACACTCAGCCTTTCGCGCACACTCCCATAAAAAGCAAGAAGAGATGGCGGACCCGAAGTTTTAATTTGAACTAGTTCTTTAAGTTGAGTATTACCAACCCCGTAACCTGGATGCAAAAGCTGGCATTTAAAAGCACATGCGAAAGGAGCAGATGCCTCATCATTACATTAAGAGCATGAAGCAGGCAACAATTAAGCGATTCACTGGAAAGACATAATGCTGATCTATGCTAGCAATTAATCACAGAATACATTAGACAATGATGGGTGACCTACAAATTTTTGACAAAATAATTTTTCATCATGTTGGCGATTTCTTAGCCTAATATGCCTGCAAGGCACAGAGTCAAAACCTGTCATTTATTCCATCGCTCCTTGACAGGCGGCAACCTGTCTTCCAGACAAAATGAACATTATCTGTGCTCACTAGACATTTAGTGCAGGGCTTAGCTTATGACTAATGATAATCGGCAGACAGAAATGTTAGAGTCTGAAATAATGTTCTCTTTGTTAAAGAAATTTCTTGAGGTAGAATTTTCTTTCCCGAAAGATGTATAAAGATAAAACCTGGTTTTTATCTGGGTTTTAATGCAACTCCAAGAACCAATATTTCCTTTCTACCAAAATAAACAGAAGGAGGTAACCATTTTTTAAATTAACATCTCATTTGAATACCTACTCTTGCCTGAAAATTTCTTACGTGGTTAGAAACTGAGATACAAAGGAAAGCTCAGGAGATAGAGCCTTAAACAAGAAAATATGGGCAAGCTGTTTTGTGTTCCAGGTTTTATTTTGAATCTGGTGGAAATAAGTTTGAAACATCATGAGTGCGTGTGCTGCAGAATATAAATAAATGAAGACCGTGTTGAGAAATGTACTCCCACCTCTCCTATATCTCTTGGTTTCTATCCGTCACGAGGTTCTTCAAAGCCTGAGACAACGTAAAGCATATCTGAGGAAAGCAATTTTGAGTGAGAGAATTGCATAAAATTGCAAATTTATTAAATGGATCTAAAATTCCACAAGCAAGTACTTTATGTTGTACTTATAATTAATATAATTGTTTTATGCACTTTGGATAAAGAGAAATGGATTTTTTAAAGTTATTTTTCTTGTGTGTTACATGTGCAAAATGCCATCCTAGAGGTAGATTTTTCTTTGGATTCAGGCACGAAATTCCTATTAGCCTTAATGGGACTTACACATGCACATTGATAGGAGAATATACCCCTTAGGCTGGAAATTTAAAAGAACAAATGGCAAGGACATCAAAATAGTAAAGTCTAATTTAGATGATCCATAAGCCTGCACAGTTACTTTCCTGAGAAGGCAAACAAATGTTATGCCTTATGATGTTGCTGATTGTTTTGATAGCCCTGTAAATACATCCTCTAGACTCATTACTTAAGGGAAAAGTCTGTTTTTATCAAGCAATACAATTTTTGACCATACATGTTTGGTTTAAATTACATATATTTTTTCAAATCTGCATAATGCATTATTGCAAGTTATTATAATATAGTTTACCATTTCAATCACAACATCCTGCTTTGTATCTCTTTGTACCTATCATACAGCCTGTACATCATTCTTTTCTCAAAGATGAAAGGGAGGAGGAAGAACCCCAAAAAAGGCTGTTGACCCTGAATTATAGGTATTTTATTAGATTTGCCCCAAATTCCTTCTGGAAAGAATCCGGTTGGTGCATGGTCCACATTGTTCTGAGCAGATGGCTCCTGGTATTCTAAATCACATACGTTTGTTTTACCAGCATACAAAGCCAAATAAATAGTCGTCTACCTGGCAAAGGTGGGGCTCATTCTGTTATTGTTCCAAACAATTCAGTGAAAGATGCTGAGAAAATTACCCCTTCGTCTCCAAATATAACCAGGGTTTCCAGTTCAAGGATCTGGGTATACTGAGTATGAAAGCTAATATTTAAATGTCTGTCTAATCTCAGGATAACAAACAACTTTAGCCTTCAGTGATCACAAATCCCTCATTTTCTGGGCTTTCATTTTATCTCTTGCAAAACAAATATGAAAAACTTATCACCCTTTTTCCCCATCACAGGGCCTCGTTCTCTGTCATGTACCTCTTGATTCATCAGCAGCAAGAGGCTTCTAAATGAGGGTGATGAGAACCTGCATATTGTAACAGGTCTCCCCCAGAAGGCTACAATTTTGCCATTTACCAACTGGGTTAGAATTGCTGCTTTCCTGCCAGGGCGAAGCTAGTTCTGTGTCTGTTATTCTCACCTCCGTAGGCAACCCTCCAGAAAATCCTTTGTGTTATTCAAAACTTTGAAACTGTACCTCAATATACGTATGAATGAGTCCTATGTGCTTGCACAGTCAAATGGTCATTTGGTACAAGTCGCCCATTAAATGTCATGCAAATGTAAATTAAATTTGAGAAATGTAAATTAGTATGTTGAAATGTAGAAAGTAGCCAGGGTAGTTTGGAGCTATGGAACTAGAGGTCCATGCATGCTAATTCTAATTCTGGAAGTAGCTTATTTCACGAGTTTGACCTCACTTCCATTTTTTTCTCTTCCGGCTCTTACTTACTACATCTCTCCTTTTCCCTCATCTGCCCTTCTCCCTCTGTGTCAGCCCATGGACTCATCCCTCTGTCTGTCCAGATGTAAAATGGAGACAGGAAACACGGATTCAAACATCGGGTATCTGGATCATAATCACAGAGTGTTGCCCAGGAAGAAAAGTTTGAAAACACATAGAAGAAAATAACTAGCGAGGGACTTCTATGAGTATGTAGATAATGACACTGCACATGGGACCTGCTACTTTGTTCCTGTTTTCAAACCCACACTTTATTAAATAAGGGAGATACAGGAATTGTTTTCAAATCATGCCTTCAATTTTCTGTCTTCTCCTCAAGTTCACAGGACAGTGGTGACGATACTGAGTAGAAGACAAAGTCATAACATCACTGTACATTTGAATGGAGGGGATTTAGAAACCATCCACCCAGTGCATGAATTCCTCTCTACAACATCACAGGTAATGACCATCTGTGTTTACGTCTGTTCTCTAGTGATGTGAAATTTACCTTGAGTGAGACTGCCTTCCCATAAGAATATAAAAAGTTTAAAAATAATAGTTACCATTTATTTCACATTTACTGTATACCAGATGTTGGGGAAAGACCTTTACATACGTACCCTCATCTAAATCCATTTGAAGGATCGTAAACCATTTTAAGGATAAAGTAATGAAACTTCCATGGGGACCGAGAGCTACTTAGTTCTATCTGAAACTAAATACACTTCTCGTGGTGAGTGCTTGTTAATGCAGATGATTGTGGGATCACAATTTTGTACACCTGCAGTGAATACAATATTTTAAAAATAAATAAGTAATTTAAAAGTCTTCGCAAGAAAACTAAATTTATCCTAAGTCAGATTACAGATATTAAGGTTTTGGAGCCTAAAGCATATGCGATGGTTCTCCTAGGTGTCACCAGAATCGGATGTGTTTTCAGATCTCCGGATGAAGCTGCATTTTTGACAAAGTAACTACAGTATATTCACTTTACTCTTGTCCTTAGTATAAGAATTAACATGGAGATTTTCTGAATCATTTTGATGTTTTTAGCACTGACAGTTTTTCATCATTTTTGACTAGCATAGAACAGGAAAATTGCAGGTAAGATTCTCTCTTTTTTAGGCTTCAGTGATTCTGGCTAGTCTTCCAGGAGACAACAAGCCCATGTATGCCTCCTCTTTGCCTTCGAAAGATCCCCAACTTATGTCTGAGAGCTCCAGAAGTACCTGTTTTTTGAGAGAATTGTTCTGCCTGAATCCAAAGGAGGTAATAGAATCCCTGAATCATAATTTATATTTTGAGATCTCATTAGTTACTTAGTATATAACAACTACCAATGGAAGATTTTACCACTGTTACTTTGCTTCAATCATTCCCAGCTTTAAAGCAGATGTGGGCATTTGGGTTCTTTTCATACTTTGAAGGAAACATATATTGAATTGTGAGAGCATGCAATGTAAAACTTCAATTGATAAAAGTATCAAAGGTAAGCTAATATAAAACCTTATTCATTCAATATCCCAATGATATGGGGGCAGTCATAATATACAGCTAACATGAAGAAGTCCTCAAATGTTAAGACGCAGCCTTCAACTTTTTGTGGAGGAGAACAGAAAACCACAGATAATTTTGTGCACTTTCTGTCTGGGTGATCTTGGACAAACCAACATTTGTCTTTGTAGCCAAAGACAATTCTTACCTTTCTGGTCATATGTTACCTGATTATCTGCAGTATTTATCATAGTAATAATTTCCATCTTCTTGAAACATTTTTTTTCTGGCTTCCATAATATCATGATCTCCTACTTTTCCCAGTGGGACACTAATTCTCCTTTTCAGACCGCTTTACTATCTATGTATTCATCCTCTACCATACCTTAAGCCCTCGCTTCTTCTGTGTATACACATGCTTTCTGCTTGTTGAATTCACTCAGTCACATGGATTTAAACAGCATCCATAAGCTAGACTTTTAACATCTTACTGCCTATCTGACATTTCCACATGGGTATCTATTAGCCATATCAAACCCATGACCCCCGTACCAAAAGTAAGCCCAAGACTCTCTTCCCTCTGTCTTTCCCAATTCAATAAGTAACACCACCATCTCCTCAGCAACTCAGGCTAAAATTCTAGGTGTCATCCTTGATTTCTACATTTTGTTTACCCTCAGCATCCAATTTTTCATCTAGCCTTGATGATTCTGCTCCAAAACAAATTTCACACGTAAACAATTCTTTCTCCACTGTTACCAGCATGGCCTAAACCACCATGCCTGCCTTGCCGTGGCATTCTATCTGGTCACTTTTCTTCTGTTCTTTTCTCCCTTCATACATTCTCCACACCACAATCATCCTATCCTTTCACTGTATAATCATACCACATCACCCTCCCATTTAAAAACCTTCCAATAGTTAGCATCAGAAAAAAAAAATCCAAATTTTCTACACTGGCTTGCAAAGCTCGCATGATGCCTGTCCCTGCCTATCTCTCTCTTCTTTTATGGTCCTCTTTTCATTATGCACAAGCCACAATGAGCTTTTTCCCCTCCCCTGTTTGTCATTCATTCATGGCTTATTAATGCACTACAACTTTTCATTAATTAGTACCTCTGCCTAGAATGCTCTTCTCCATCTTTGCCAACTGGCTTCTTCTTATCATTCATCTATCAGCTTAAATACTATATCCTCAAAGAAGACTTTCCAATCAGCCCTGCATACTCCTTGGAGAAAGGTCCTCGTGCATCTTGTTCGTAGCTCCATCCCCCAACGCCCAGAACATGACTAGCACTTGGTGGACGCTCAATAAATATTTGTTGAGTGAATGAATGGGCTTCATTTTTCTTAACTGTAAGATGAAGGAATTAGATTGGATAATGGTGAAGCCCTTTTTAGTTCAATTGTATTAAGTATACGAGTTGGTTACCAGTAATTTAGGGCATTCATATCGAATCTACTCTATTGCAATATATTTTTCCACTTGAAAAGATTTTCTTTCCCAATGATAAAAGTGATTAATAACTGATATTGTTGAGCATGAAGATGTCATATCTTTTGGAGGTAATGTTAACTGTGGCTATTTTTATTAGCCAAAAGTACCAGCACCCTTTTTATAAAGCTGTTTTGACACAAATCTGCTGTTGATGTTTGATTTATTTGTCCACAGCAAAAATTTATATGCTAATAGGGATGTAAATAGAGATGAGGCGATACATAGCATTTTATAATTTATCATCATATCAGATCTTATATTTTTTAACAGAAAAGATAGAGAAACACACTGTTAAGACTAACACATAATGAAAATCTATGCATGTCTCACTTTATTCTCTTTACATATATACTTCTCTTACTGCCTCTACAAGATACACACCTATTTCAGGATGGTGTGATTTAATTCATTTATCCGAGCTTTTAAGAACTTTTGCAGTCCAGTTTTATGATTATCATTACCTACCATCTTTTACCATCTGGATGAATTTCTTGAAAACAGTATGTATATCATACTCTACTGTGTCTTAAAATGTCCTGATCATCTGAGGACTTAGAAATAATCTCAAATATAAACACAAAATAGTTGTCCATATATTTCAGAGATTTATATGGCTAAAGTTTCCTGTTTTATATTTTTCTCTGATTGCTTCATTTGCCAGCCTCATCTTCTGGATCTTCTTAAAAGAAATGATTGTTTCTTATACACCCCGTTGCTTTTGAGTCTTGCATGAAAACTATATATGCCTGTGAAGAGTTAAATGTTAAATGAGCAGCTTCTTTAATTTGGTTTTTGGTCTCCCAGACTAAAGTTATTTTTATGTTTTATCTACCCAACAGTAAAGTATCAGTGCTGTCATGGAATTACTTCTTACAATTCATTACATTAAACAGCGGTTATAATTATAGACACATCCCAGTGTATTTTACAACTGTGTCCTTTCTTTTGCATAGATGCAGATCCATATTCCAGGGTAAAGCAAAGGCTTGTATTATTTGGTCACCTTCCCAATAGGTCATTTCTGCAGCATTTTCCCAAAGTGAGACAGTCAGTCTCAAACACACAGAGCCTATGACCTTATCCTATGATGATTTTTTAGTTATTATTGAAGGATAGTTGACATACAGCGTTACATAGGACTTAATGTTAGTTACATGGAGGGGAGTCTTACACCAAATATATGGACCCATATATGGGAAACATGAACACATTGTCATTATCACTTGATAGCTGATAGTTATAGTGGAAAACAAACAAACTACCCTTTCTTTTTCAGGAGAACACGATCTTTAAGCCACATTCCATTTATCTATATCAATGTTTGCAGAAGTAAATATCTTAGGGTACCACCCACATAGTTATTTGTTGATTCATTCCTGTAGTCTATCAATCTTTTTTCAATTCGGGGTGCACGGCTAGGGTAGTGTGGCAGCATATATTGCATCTCTATGATAATTTAATTTAACTGTAGTGCGCTGGGGTCTAGATTGCTCCTCTTAGCAGCCAGAGGTGACCGCAAACAGTGCTAGGGCCTAGATTGTTGTCAGCAATAATTACTGGCTAAAGAGAGCTTTGACAGAAAATGACATTCTGGAGAAATATCCATCAACAAGAGTCAGAGTGTATATAAGGATATATATAAGGGTATTTTAACAAAACCATAAATTTCTTTGTCAAAACAGGTTGTAATTTATTGGCTAACCAAGTCTCTAAACTGCATTTGCATTTTTGTTTAAGTCTGTATGGTATGTGTTTGCTTCAGGCATATTTCCTTAATGGGTTTATGTGTACTGATAATCTGGAAATGAAGTAAATGGCTGGGCTAAATACTGGAGAGAGTACAAAAGGAAAGAAGGGGAAAAAATTTTGCTCATATATTTTCTCATTTTTCTGCTCACACAATAAAAATTCAACTTTAAAAATCAAAGGAAAGAAGTAAATGGCTCTTCCCTCTTTAATTACCATACTTAGGAAGAACTGTAAGTACACACACCATTTCAGCAAATGGCATTGGATCTGAGTGATGCCATATGATGCTGAACTAAAACGTTTGCCTTAGAAAGTGCTCTTTCGTCATGTGCTGGCTTTCTCAGCCCTTATTTCTGTGAAATAGAAGTCAAAAGAAAATGATAGGTATCCCAATGCTATGACTGCATAATGCTCTCCCACCCCCACTCCCAGCCTTTTAGGCTAACCTTCTTGGAAAGTATCCGTGAGCAAAACAAAACAAAAACCCACTATTGGGCTAAGTTAGCATATCTCTAGGTGGTCATAGAAACAAATTGATTTTCATATGGGTTTACATTAGCTACAAAATAATGACTAAAGCGCTCTGTCCTAGTGACACCGCTTAGCAACGGCTTGCTGAAGGCTGCGGGATTTCTGGTTAGCAATTTAGCCTTCCTGGTAAGAACCAGTGGAACGTTTGTTTACACAATCCATTTGAGAAGAGGAAGAATGAAAATAGCCCCGAGGCTATCATGAACATTAAGAAGAAAAGAGTATGTTTGGAAAACTTCATCTTAGTTAGAAAGTTTTCTAACACTACTGTCCCAAACAAAATGAAAGGAGAGGAAATCAGAAGGCAGTCCCACTGTCCAGTAGCTTGTTCTTCAGGAGCCCCAGATCCTGGTGACTGAAACATTTTCTCAGACAGACGTTATCGTGTTCTCCCTCTTCCTGAAGCAATGTCTCCGTTCATCCCAATGGGGTTATTGCTGCATAGTGATGAGGAACCTCAGGGTTGTAAGTGACTTCAACTTCCATCTTGTCAAGTACTCAAACCCTCATTCCAGCGTTAACATGACAAAGTTCTTCTTTCATGACGAGGATCTTTCATTTCTTTGTCTACTCCACGAGAAAGGCTTTAATAGTAAGGGAGTTCCTAGAAGGAGTTATTTCAAACCATACATATATTCCTCATTTGAGGTATTTACTCATGATGAGCTTGGTCTGTAACAAAGAAGCCAGCATATGTTTTACTCTACCTTGTATTTTTCCTGCTGATTTCATAAGTATATATATATATATATATATATATATATATATATATATATATATCTTGATTCTCAAACTGCATTGTAAATTCATCAATAATAAAGCCTTTGTCTCATATACAAGCCATTGAATCCCACCAACCCCCCCCCCCAGAACACCTACAAATATGAGTCATTGGCACCTGAAAAGTGCTTATAAATACCTGGGGCTTGATGATGTGAAGGGGACTATTTTGTATGTGTAAGAGCAGGATATAAATCTCAGTAATAACTTTTCTTTCTTTATTCCACAAACTACTGAAAGTACCTTAGTTTCCATCCATGGAGAGAAAAATTAAAGAAAATATTGCCCTGACCTCAGTGAGCTAATAGTCTGTAAGAAGAAATAGGCTTCAAATAAATAATCACAATGTCTTAGGATACATGCTACTATCAAAGTTTGTATGAGGTCCAGAGAAAGAAAAAGAAGTAGAGGCTTGAGTTGGTTTTTAAAGAACATATTTGAAAGGTGGAAGGTATGGGAAAAACTTTCAAAGTAGAGGGAAAAGTAATCATTGTTACAACTGGAATGTAGTGAATGTTTGAATTATTGAAGAAAGAGCTGTAAAAGCTAAGGGTCCAAAAACATAAATGCACGCTACCCACAAACTGTTTCATTCTTCAGAAATTTCTTCAGGTGCTGCCCCCAGCACCACACTCTTCATTTAACCTCATCTCCATGGCAGACATTTCCCTTCAGATCCAGTTCTGAAGCACTGCATCTATCCCGGAGCACACCTTCATCTGAGACACAAATGTTAGCTCCCTTTTGTCCTTTTACCCATGATCATGGGACAGACGCTGAAGGCCCCTACTCAGGAAAGAGTCCAAGCCCCTCACCCATCCACGTACACCAACAAAAGCCTAGACAGTAAACTTGGCCAGGGAACTTCTGTTGCATGCCTTGCAAAAGAGTTTGGACTTTACCCTCTAGTCTAGGCAATGGGGTTCCATTTGTATACTTTGTTCAGAAAGTAAAAGATGAACATTAATAGGCTATCGCTAAAATGGCATTAAATGTAATCATAATCTTTAACTTGCATTATGGTCTTCTGAGAATTAATAGAATAATTACCTTAAACCATTAATCCAGGTAAACATTTGATCCATTGTTGTTTAGATTTTGGAAACAGCATGTGAATCGAGTCTTGGAAACACGCCAATATTCTACTCTGCAGTTTTTAACAGCACTCAGAGAACCATTTTTCTGATATCCATATGTCATTACGCGTAGATGATTTATTAATCATCAGATGTATTTTAAAATACTGTACATACGCAGATTATAATGTGCCCAATAATCATGCACTACAGTGCATGATTTATGTTACAGACTTCTCTGTTTAACATCAGAGTTTTGTTTTTTCTGGAGGCAATCTCTTCAGAAAAGATTGGTTTCATGCCTCTGGTGTTGTTCTGTGGATAAAGGAGCTTTGCATTACAATCCTAAGAGAAGGAGCCATTTTTCTTACCACAGCTAACAACCATTTTAATCATTGGTGCAACACTATCTCCATTGAACTTCCAGTTCAGCTTCAAGTTTCAGCAGTCAGAGTCTATCTATAAAGATGGTATTCCCTCAGTGAAAGTATACAGCAATGATTAGGGCAACAATGTTTAGGTAAAGTTAAAGACTCTTCATGTCTCCTGCGTACAGTGGTACAGACTGTGCGTTGACCACCTCCAGGGAGAACCATTCATAGTCACTGTAGATTCCTTTACTTATGAGAACTCATGTTCTGACAAATAAGAAAATGTTTTAAGGAAAGAAGAGCTTCTTCTAATGTACACGAATGTGTCATTTAGGCCAGCAGCACATAAGTATAAGAGATGGAATATAGCCAAATTTATAAATTAGTAGTATTTCTTCTTTATTCCCAAACCCATGAACAATAATTTGATAGTGTGCTTTAAAAAGGAAACAAAACCAAAAGTGCTTGGAAAGTTTGAGAAATGTTGAAGGAGGTTGAAAATTAAATAGCAGTAACGCTTAAGAAACAGATTAAAATATGAAAGCAAACATAAGTTCAAAAGAAAAACTCATTCTAGAAATATGATTTCAGGGTGAAGAACCACAATGACCTTGCAAAGCGGAAAGGCCTGACCCAATGATTTTTTACTAATCGCAACTTTACGAACAAAACTAAGCCGAGAACGGCCAAATTCCAGTACATACTACTGGTGACTTAATTAAGACTGTCCGGAAGATTTTTTCCAAGTCTATAAATTGTCTTAAGATCCGGCCTCCCTGGGAGGGATCATAAGTCTTTTAACTTTTGAGGAGTACCATTTCCCCTCTATTTACAGTAGGTAAAACATCAGCTTGGAGCAAAGCACCTTGGAAGTCGGAGATAAAATGCAGCACTCTGGATAGTAGTATTTATTAAAACAACAGTGGTCTTGACTGTCAGAGTTAAAAGACCTCTATAGAAAGACTTCACTTCTTTATTCTTCCCATTCATGTTTTTATTTATTTTTTAGAGTAAGCAAATGGGGGAAAAATTATATTGGCAGAGGGCTGACCTCTATTTTATATAATTTGTAGCTAAAAAGCTTACAGGCTAAAACATGTAAATATATGCAGATCTGAGAGCAAGACCTCAGAAGGGAAATAGCTGAGCAAGATTGAAGAGAATGTGGGCCATACATAGGAAAGCCGCTGGGGCTCTTAGCAACCTGGAAACCTGAAATGAATTATTATCTGGTCCGATTGTGACCTACTTAGTCTCCTGGCAGCATGTTGGCATAAGGAGAAATTTGGAGCTGTAGGAATGGCTTATTTACTTGACCTTGAAGATACCCGAACCAGTCGGATGACTGCTGATTCGGCCCAGTGAGCAGACACTGCTGTAGTTGTAAGCCAATCACATTGTGCTAAGATGACTCACCATGCGTCGTGGACAAAGACGGCCTGAGCCTATGTCCTCTGCTGAGTTTCTCTTTTATTGGAATATGCTGTATCAAAGTGGTAAGCATTGCTGATAATAGCAAATAGAAGAAAAGCAAAATGTACACCACCAACATTCTTACTTTTTTCAAGCCTACCGTGTTTTGTTTTTTCAATAACGTCACAAGAAAAGACACAGAGCATGAATTTCAGATGAAAGTTAGAATGAGAAATCAGTTGCTTTGAATAAAAGAGCAAAGTGTTTCTCTAAAAGGGAGAGTGTGGGTGAATGGAAAGGGGAACTATTTGTAGCAAGGTAGAGAAAATCAACATCACATTTCCTCAGACCTCAAGAATTCCCACCCACAGACTTTGATCATATTAAAGAGCTGGAGTGATCCAAAGAGAACATCAGTTGTACCTGTTGGGGCTTATAGACAAGGAACACAAGGAACAAAATTGTAATGCTACCTAAAGCAACATGTCAGAGCTCAGTTCCCCAAATGCTCAGAACCTTCAGCATTTTCCCCACACTGCTCCCTGCAGCAAATATTCCTTCAAAGTCTCCTTGAATGTAAATCTTTTCCCATGCCGCTATGAATCCATGGAGTTTTGAGTAAAGTGGGCTGAGGTAAAGGCAATGCCTCTTAGCCTTATTTTCCTCTTTTGAGAAAGAATCTGTCGAGGGGCTAAGTTGTGCCCTCCACTCAATCAAAGCAGACATGAATTATAGTTGAAATTAGATGCTACACTTAATTTTGCTTGCGTATGTCTGGGGTATAATATATGTCTCACAAATGGGTTCTTTCAGAAGAGCCAAAACATGAGATGCCATGATTGATGGAAAATTCCAAGTAACCCAATTAGCATGAATGAAGAAGTTATCAAATGTGAAAACTTTAGGTGAATTAACTGTCATCCAGTATGTTATGATGTGATGAATAATGAGCATCTAGAGTTTTATTAATGAGCATCTAATGGAAAAGATGGAACTGGTACCAACAAGTTTAATTCCCAATAATGTGTAAAACAAGCCTAAGCCAGGACCAGAAGATCTGTTGGCACCAGACCCAATGACCTACAACAGGAAGCATCTTAACTTATAGGTGTGTTAAGAAAGACACATGCCAGCCAGCCCACAGTTCACGGGTCAGGAACTCCAGCCTTAAATCACTCCAGCTGTTACTCTATTGTCTTGACTGTCACAAGTGTGTCTCAGGATATATATTACCCAGAGAATCACCAAAGTCAGTGGTTTTTATCTGTACTTAGCAAGGTAAACAACTAGTGGAGGGCTATAGTTGTACTGAGATTTCCAAATAATATTACAATAAATTCTTGCACATGGCATAGTTATCACTCACAATTGGATATTATCTTTTTTTTCCTTCAGAAAAGCTTTCTATTAAGATGATTTCATTTAGAAATTACAGTGAGGCTTATTTGTGGCCAGAATAAATGGCTGTCTATGCTGAACAGTTTGAAAGATCCCAAAACATCTCCAGAACAAGTTGTTGCTGCTGTTGCCTGAAATTCTGCCATTAAAGATTTGTTCCATTGGGCACTGCCTCTTTGGGAAGAGGAAAGATAGCGTGTCCAGTATCTTCTAAGCCAATGTCAAATATTCACACAAAGGTGTTAGTGTCCTTCCACAATGGAGAGACTTCTTGTGAAGAGGGAGAAGAAAATGGTAAGGTCCTGATCCTCATCCACCATGAAAGGGGAACCTACATGGACTTGTGTCCCTGGAGTTAGTAGATTCAGTGAAAAGAATAAAAAATTCCACCAGAATCCTTGAAATTCATTTTCTTCCCTGCATTCCATCTCTGCACAAGTTCTGTCCTTGCAGAGGTCTCTTTAACCCAGGCCACTTTTCTTTCACTTTTCCTGGGTAACTGAGAACTGTTTAAGATTAGAGAAATACCTTATTCTTTTACTCCTATCACAATGATTAGAATATTATGTACGTTCAACAATTTTTCAAATGAGAAAAATTGGAGTTAAGAAAATACCTAGGATAGGGGCACCTGGGTGGCTCAGTTGGTTAAGCATCCAACTCTTGATTTCAGCTCAGTTCATGATCTCACAGTGGTGAGATCGAGCCCCGTGGCAGCATCCACACTGGGCATGGAGTTTGCTTAAGATTCTCTCTCTCCCTCTTTCTCTGCCCCTCCCCTGCTCATTCTCTTTCTCTTTCTCTCTCTCTTTTTTTTTTTAAAGAAAGAAAGAAAGAAAGAAAGAAAGAAAGAAAGAAAGAAAGAAAGAGATAAAGAAAGATAAAGAAAGAAAGAGATAAAGAAAGAAAGATAAAGAAAGAAAGAGATAAAGAAAGAAAATACTTAGGATAAATCCCACTTAGTTCACAATTTTGCCTTGAGTTACCCTAATTCAATGAAACTTATTTTCCTCATGTGTTTACACATTACATATACCTAATGGTGTTTACATCATTACATTGGAAAGACATTTGGCTAGAAAAAATATTACCAATGATAATGATTATATATTAGAATTATATGCATAAAAACCTTTAAATCCTCATTAAAAAGCATCAATGCCAAAAAAAATCATCGATGCTACTATGCCTATCATGAAATATCATGGTATTAAAATAACTAAAGAAAACACAAAAACACTAATTCAAAAGGATACATCATGCACACTTATATTTATAGCATCGTTATTTACACTAGCCAGGATATGAAAGCAGCCCAAGTCTCCATAGATTGGTGAATGGATAAAGAAGACATAGTATGTATATACAATGGAAGAGTATTCAGCCATAAAAAAAAGAATGAAGTCTTGTCATTTGCAACAACATAGATGGAGCTAGAGTATAATAGTGAAATAAGTCAGTCAGAGAAAGGCAAAAACCATACAATTTCACTAATATGTGGAATTTAAGAAACAAAACAAATGAGCTAAGGGGAAAAGAGAGAGAGAGAGAGAAACCAAGAAACAGACTCTTAATTATACAGGACAAACTAATGATTACCAGAGGAGAGGTGGGTGGGGGGAATGGATGAAAGAGGTGATAGGGATTAAAGAGTGTACTTGTTGCGATGAGCACTGAGTGTTGTATGGAAATTTTGAATTACTATATTGTACACCTGAAACTATAATAATGTATAGAAACTAAAATTAAAATTAAAAACTAATCAAGAAAGAAGGAAAAAGACAGGAACTTATCAATGTGCTTTTTCTAGCTCATATTATGTAGCCACTTTTGAGGGGGGATATCTCTGACTTTCTAGTCAGAAATTCCCCAAATTCTAACTTTCACTTAAGAAAAGTATTTTTGTTGGAATATTTTGGTTTCCTTTCAAATCTCTTAATTCAGTAAATTTAAAAATATATATCTTTGTCAAAAATGGATCAAATGCATTTAAAAATAGAGATTAAAAGTTTGAGTGATGGTCAAACAAATATCTTTTGGAATACATGCTGCTGTTCTGGTGATGCACCTATAATTAATAAGAACTAGTGAGGGGCGCCTGGGTGGCTCAGTCGGTTAAGCATCCGACTTTGGCTCAGGTCACGATCTCGCGGTCCGCGAGTTCGAGCCCTGCGTCAGGCTCTGGGCTGATGGCTCAGAGCCTGGAGCCTGCTTCCGATTCTGTGTTTCCCTCTCTCTCTGCCCCTCCCCGTTCATACTGTGTCTCTCTCTGTCTCAAAAATAAATAAAGGTTAAAAAAAAAATTTTAAAAAGAACTAGTGAATTGAGGACAAGACTATGGATCATTCTATTCTCAACTTATTAGTAATTGGTGGCCTCTGTAGACAAAAACTAGATTTGGGATGTTTACAGTAAATGCATTTCCTTCTGAAAAAAATGAAATATCATTTACAGCCTATCCATTGACTTTCCCTAGGAAAATGTTCTTAATGGACACTAACAGGAGCAAAATGACAGGCATAGAAATGACAACATGGAATCCCAAAATTCTGAAGGTGAGTGGTCCTTTCTTCTGGAGGTGGATTAATGCAAAGGTTAGAAATTATTTAAATTTATCATTAAATTTAGTAAATTTCTGTTAAATGAAGGAAGCTTTTGCACTTAAGAAAAACAAAAAGATGCTTTGCTCTTCATTTTTCTAAAGAAATGGATAAATGAAAGGAAAAAAAGAGGTGGGGGGAGAAAAGTAAGAAAGGGACCTACGTATGTTAAAGGATATTTACATTTGTAGTTAGGAGTCATTAGACAAGAAAACCGAAGAATCATTTCTTTTTTTTTCTTCCAAGTTTTTATTTAAAATTGAGTTAGTTAACATACAGTGTAATATTAGTTCCAGGTGTAGGGTTTAGTGATTAATCACTGACATACAACACCCAGTGCTTATCACAAGTGCCCTCCTTAATACCCATCAGCCATTTAACTCATCCCCTCACCCATTTCCCCTCCAGCAGCCCTCGGTTTGTTGTCTATAGTTAAGAGTCTGTTTCTTGGTTGGCCTCTCTCTTTTTTCCCTCTATGTTCATCTGTTTTGTTTCTTAAATTCCACATATGAGTGAAATCATATGGTATAGGTCTTTTTCTGGTTTATTTCACTTAGCATTATACTCTCTCGTTCCATCCATGTTGTTGTTGCAAATGGCAAAACTTTATTGTTTTTTATGGCTGAATACTATACCAGTGTGTGTGTGTGTGTGTGTGTGTGTGTGTGTGTGTGTGTATACCGCAACTTCTAATGCAAGTTTATTGAGAGGTGATTTTACAATATGAGCCAAAGCATTCAAAATCTACATAACATTCTGATTCCATAATTCCACATCTAGGAATTGATGTCAACAAAATCATCAAACAAGTGTATTTAGATTTATGTATCTGGATGTTCTTTGATATTTTGCTTATTATAGTAAAATGAATTTATGATGTTTAGTGTTTGGTTAAGTAAATTATATTCCATGATGGTATAGATATAGATTTATTGACAGAAAAATGTTTGGTGTCTTTATTGTATAAAAAAAGCAGATTGGGGTGCCTGGGTCGCTCAGTCAGTTGAGTGTCTAACTCTTGATTTCAGCTTAGGTCTTGATCCCAGGGTCATGGGATCAAGCCCTGTGTTGAGCTCTGTGCTGAGTGTGGAGACTACTTAAGATTCTGTCTCTGCCTCTGCCTTTCTCCCTGCTCCGTGTGCTCTCTCTCTCTCTCTCTCTCTAAAATAAAAATTTTTTTAAAAGCAGATTATAAAGTGACATATATGGTACAGTCCCATTTTGTATATGTTTTTGTGTATTTTATATATTTTCCTAAGAATATTTCATATATATGTGTATGTGTGTATATATGTGTGTGCTGTGTGTACATATATACACACATACACATATATGCTAAATAAAAGTGGTTACCAATAAGGGTTGAAATTCAGTTTTTATTTTTATTAATATTTGCATAGTCTAGCTTTTAATAATGTGAATGACACAGATAAGTCTAAGAAAGATATTAAAGAAAACTGTTCTTACAATATACTGCAAATATTAAATTCAGGAAAACATATTATGATGATATTTGCCTTTAATGCTGACAACACTATTTTTACTACAGTTTTTATTCGAAACTAGAAAAAGGAAATGATTTCACTCTAGAAGTTTCCTCCATCCAAGTACTTCTCTCTGACTTCCTATTTATTTACCATATCTTCTGGGACATGACTACAAATCAGTTCCCAACTTGGGAATACACAAACCCCCCAAACTAATATGTAAAACAAATTGTTCCATCGTCCCATGGTTAACAATTGTGAAGAATTATTGGTAGTATAAATAATAGTCAATTGAAATTTTAGAACAGATATGGCTCTGCCTGAGTAGTTTATTGGAAAATCATTTGTTTCACATAAGGTTTGGCATCCAGTATTCAATGTGAATTATGTGGTTATAGCCCAGTTTATTATATTTCTGTTTGTGCCAGTGGGTATATATGTGTCTTAGGCTTTAAAAAGGTAATTTGTGCCCTCAAAATGTATTATGTAACAAATTGTGATTCATGCAAATCACTTTGATTTGTTTTCCAAAAATGTAACCGGCTTCAATTAATCAGTTGCTATTCATTTCAGATGTTTCAATTGCGCTCACAACAAAAGCTCCAGTGGGTTATCACTTACATGGGGGACTGACCTCCCAAGGGTATGAAAGACACAACAATCAGACATTATGCCAAGCATACAATTATAGCGTGTGTCCCCACAAACTCCAGTAAATCACACATCACTTTATGTTGGACTCCCACCTCTCTGAAGTTCTCCGTCACTCAAGCCACCTACCTGCTGTAATCAGAGCACTCTGCAGTGCATGGATGCACAGCTCTCAACCTGCTGAGACCTAGTCCATGATCCCCAGTGTGTAGCAAAAGTCAGCCAAGCAGATTGCCATATCTGTGTTCTGCAGCCCGCCCATCACGATGTATCAGTAGCCCCAAGTGCTGTGCTCCCGTACATGGACCTTTTTTTATAAAGAAGGAAAGTAAAAGCAACATGTCAATTGTAATTGTGGTTAGGCATTGATGATACACAATATTGTCCCATAGCTTTTATTACTTGAGATGCAAAAATGGACATAGTGAAAAACTTGCAAGAGACGTTGTAAACTAACTATGGAAAATGTTCTCTTTTATAAAGGTTTTATTTTAATTATGGGACATCTTAAAGTATAATTACCACTCATGCTTTTACTTAAGTGTCACGTTGTCTCAACCCTATCCCATTGAATGAACTAATAATAATGGACTGGGATTAGCATTTTGTAAGAGGTATATTATTATTTATTTTCCTAGGAATAACAGGGTACTTAGTGTCATCAAAAATAGAGGGCATTATTAAACCAAAACCACTTTTCTATGCCAGCTATTTATAAACCAACATATGAATAGTTCTAAAATATAGGGTACTGAAATGACTAATTGTACTGAGTAGATACTCATTAGGGGTAAAACTGCCCACGAAGGGAAGATTTGTCTATGGAGTTCTGATATCACTCTGTCAGCCATTGCAAAGTTACTCTGACGATAACACAAGATCTTATTTCTTCTGGGGCCAATTACCATGAAAAAAGTAGAGGTTAGAGAAATGTAGCCTTAGACATAGTTCCACCATGTAGGGATGTTAGGTCTGAACCAGGATGCAAGAATTTTCAGGAGAGTAGACAAAACAACAGGAAGCCGATCATACAGCATATAACTCTGGGAACTTTCACATGGTTGAGTATCTGTAAGATAAACCTCAGTTCCATCAACGTAAAGGCCACAAACAATAGTTGGCAAGTGCTTCAAAAGGAAACTCTCAACTTTGACACTGTTGACATCGTACGTTTACAGTTCTAATTTTCGGATCTCATTCTTCTAATTTGATACAATGAAGAGAAAATGAAGTTGAATGAACAATTTATTTATTGAGTTCCTGCCATGCTATTCTTTTTAAAAAAATTTTTTTAACATTTATTTATTTTTGAGACAGATAGAGAGCACGAGTGGAGAAGGGGCAGACAGGGAGACACAGACTCTGAAGCAGGTTCCGGACTCCAAGCTGTCAGCACAGAGCCCAGCGCAGGGCTCGAACCCACAAACCATGAAATCATGACCTGAGCTGAAATCGGTCACTTATCCGATGAGCCACCCACATTCCCCCCTGCCACGTTATTCTTAATCAGGACTTCTCTATGGCGTTGAACCCAATAATCACAATAAATCTGTGAAAGATAACAATCACCATTCGAGCCATCATAAAATCAAAGATAAGTTAACAATACAGGCTTGTAGTGGGACTGAGTACTCCAAATGGCCAGATTTTCACTTGAGTTTTAGTGGTCTGGATAGAAGATCAAGCCATTCCCTTAAGCCAAAGCCTAATCGTGAGCAAGGCCCTAACTCTCTTCAGGTCTGTGAAGGCTGAGAGAGGTACGGAAGTGGCAGAACAAAAGTTGGAAGCAGAGGTTGGTTCACAGGTTGAGTTAGCCACCTCTGTAACATAAAGTGCAAGGTAGAGCAGCAAGTGCTGATGTAGAAGCTGCAGCAAGTTATCCAGAAGAGCCAGCTAGCTAAGGTCATTAATGGAAGTAGCTACCCTAAACAACAGCTTTTCAATAGAGACAAAACAGCCTTATTTTGGCCTCAAAGCTTCAAAGAACAGACTGACTCTCTTTAGAGGCTAATGCAGCTGGTGACTTTAAATGGAAGCCAATGTTCATTTACTATTCCAAAACTCATAATCCTTAAGGATTATGTCATATCTATTCCGCCTGTGCTCTAGAAATGCAACAACAAAGCCTGGATGACAGCACATCTGCTTACAACAAGGTTTACTGAATATTTTAAGCCCACTGTTGAGCATAATTGCTCAGAAGAAAAAAAATTGCTTTCAAAATATCACTGTTCATTGACACTGCACCTGATCATTCAAGAGGTCTGATGGAGATGCACAGTGAGATTAATGTTGTTCTCATGCCTGGTAACACAATATCCATTCTGCAGCCCATGGATCAAGGAGCAAGTTTTATCTTCAAGTCTTGTTATTTAAGAAATATATTTATCTACATACATGTATCTATCTGCCATAGATAGTGATTCCTCTGATGGATTGGGCAAAGTAAATTGAAAACCTCCTGGAAAGTATTCACCATTCTAGATGCCATTAAGAACATTTGTGATTCACGAGAAGAGGGCAAAATATCAATGTGAACAAGAGTTTAGAGGTTGATTCCCAACTGTCATGGATGACTTTGGGGAGTTCAAGACTTCGGTGGAGGAAATACGTGTAGATATGGTGGAAAGAGCAAGAGAAACAAAATCAGAAGTGGAACCTGAAGATGTGACTGAATGGCTGCAACTTCATGATACAATTGTAATGGATGAGGAGTTGCTTCTTATGGATGAGCAAAGAAAGTGGTTTCTTGAGATAAGTCTATTTCTGGTGGAGATGCTGTGAAGATTATTGAAATGACAGCAAAAGGCTTAGAAT